AAAATAATTTTAAAAAAAATTTGCAGTTATAAAATATGTCGAACAAAATAAATAAAGGCTAAACAACATCGAAGCTATGACAATTTTTCTTTTAATTTTTCATAGGCAGCGATATGATATAGTTGTCCTATTTTGATGAAATTTAATGTGTTATTCAAGAGTCTTTAGAAAACTCTATATTCTGATGAAAAACAACGATGCTTTAATTTTATTTCCGGTTTTTCTATATAGATTTTCGATTTTCCTATGGCAGCTATATGATAACGTTGTCGGATTTTTATACCCTCAAAAAATACATCAACAAAACTGCAAAAAACCGTTATTTTCCAATATAACGTTTTTTTTGTCTCATTGCCTACGCCAGGGGTGCTCAAGATCGTCTTATGGCAGTGCGTTTACTAACACATCCACAAGAAAACGTGTACATACAGCTGTGTTCATAATAATAGCAGTGCTGATGACGTAAATGTTTAAGATCGAAAAATCATAGTATAAACACTAAATTGGGACAAATTTGGTTTACATCAACATAATATATTTAATTTTAATTATGTTAACATTTGTTTCAGTTTAATAACTCCATTATTTTCGAAAATATTCATAATAACAAAATAATAACGACAAAATGTGCTGTTCATAATAATAGCAGTGTTACCAAAAAAAATTAAAAAATTTAACAAATCTTAAAAATAACTTAATACAAATAACAATAATGATAAATATTAACTAATATTTTGTCGTAAAACCTTTATTGGCTATTATAGCTTCACACCTACGTGGCTTGGAGTCCACCAAGTCCTGGCAACGCTTAGGGGGAATCTGCGCCCACGCGTCCGGTACAAATGGCCGAAGCTGCGACTTTGAAGTCGGGGATTTCTTTGCCACATATCGCTTGATGTCCCCCCATAAATTTTCAATCGGATTTAAATCCGGGGACTGTGCTGGACACGACATTACATCAATGTTTTCTTAAATAAACCAGCTCTTAGCCAATTTGCTGGTATGTTTTGGGTCGTTATCCTGCTGGAATGACCATTTTAAGGGCATATCCCACTGTGCATAAGGAAGCATAACAATTTTGAGTATGTCCACATAGACGTGTTGGTCCATGATCCCATAGATCATATGTATGCGACCCACGCCGCTGTACGAAAAACAAGCCCATACCAATATTTTAAAGCCACCGTGCTTAACGGTCTTAAGAGGGTGGTTTGGGTGGTACTCAGTGTTTGGGGGTCGTCGGACATACTGTCTTGAGCCTGTCCCACCAAACAAAACCAGTTTGGACTCATCTGTCCAAAGAATATTGCGCCATTTCGTCACGGGCCAGTACAAATGGCTTTTGGCAAACTCCAATCGAGCTTGGATATGCCTTTTACCAAGTAATGGCACCTTTCGGGGGCTTCACGCATTTAAATTTCCATTTACTAATCGAAGGTGAATGGTGACGTCGCTGATCCCCAACTTCAGCTCCACTTTTACATCCCTAGAAGATGCAAGAGGATTCGCTTTGTTGAAGCACACTATTCGTCGGTCCTTAATATCGGTTGTTTTTCGTTTCGGCCCACGTGTTTTGGACTTCCAATCATATTTAAATGGCATTGGATGCCATAAATGGCATTGGATACCATTTTGGTAAAACAATTTACCATATCTTGGATTTGTTGATAGGTTTTTCCCTGCTTTCTAAGCTGAGCTATCAAATTCCTCTCTTCCTCTGAACAGTGTTGTCCTCTACCCACTAAAATTAAAATTTTTGCATGGTTATTGTGTATTTCCATTTAAATTATATTAATTAACTCAAGCAAACTCACTTTTTGCAAAATTTTTAATGTTTTCGGCACTTTTTGTGGATTAAAATGAAAAACTGCTATTATTATGAACAGCCAAAAACTTGTGATTTTGCACAAGAATGTCCAAAAAACAAAAATAAAAAGCAAATCTAATGGAACTTTTTTAGTTTTCCTATCTCTATATTCCATTTTACAAAAAAAATGATCAAGCGATCAACTAACGAAAAGGAATATGCTTAAATTACCGTTGTTTTACTTCGTTGCTATTGCACTGCTATTATTATGAACACAGCTGTATGTAGCGGCGCGTTTGTGTTGGGGCGCAGCTGTGCACTGAGAGAAAAAAAAGTTCTTACCTCCAGAACTACGAAGCATTTTACGCATTGTACTTCGCATTTAAAGTTTATGCTAAAAAAACTGCTCTCTATTTCATCACACATTTTGATCCGCCAAAAAATTTAACCTTACACTTTCGATGGTCCACCACGAAATAAATCAAAAGCCAACGCAGACAGAAAGATAAGTTTCAGTGCATGTGCTCGAGGAAAAAACAAAAACAAAATACATTGCGATCAGATAAGCGTGACGACGGACAGAGATGTAATGAAGAAACAAGCAAAATTGTTTTTGTTTCGCATGCAAATCGAAGCCCATATGCACGGTGCTTATGGGCGCACTACCCATAAGCACAGAGCTCTACAAAAACAAAAGTGCACTCGGTGCATAGGCGTTGAGCACCCCTGGCCTACGCGAAGTATTATTGGCAAGTATATTATCTTTCCAGACGAGTCGAAATTTAACATTTCCGGGTCTGATGGAGCCACTTACGTTTGGCGTAAACCAAATACAGAGCTCCAAAGCAAGAACATAAAATCTACAGCTAAGTATGGCGGCGGTAGTGTCATGGTATGGGCCAGTATGTCGGCAGCTGGCATCGGGAGGCTGCACTTTATTGAGTCTACGATGGACAAGATTCAATATCTTGAACTCGGAACTCGGAAGGAATTCTGGTTCTACCAGGACAATGACCCAAAACACAAGTCGGGTATTGTGCAGACTTGGCTAATCTGAAAGGGCAATATTATTAAGGGTTAAATAAATATTATATAAACAGATTGGATTAAGCTGCCAGTTTGGTAACAATGTGCTAATCATTATAATAAAATTTCTACATTTATCATTTTAAAAAAATTTAAAAACAGGGAAATTTAAAGAATAAAATTCTAGAAACCTTATATGATTATGGAATATCACTAGATCAAATCTACAGGTAAAAAATGAACTACATACAATTTTTTAAAATATGTGATTTTTTAAGAATTTTCATATTTATGCACACAGCATTACGTCTGATAATGGGCGAAACATAATAAAAGCCGTCCAAGTGTTAAACGAGGAATCCCTTTTTAAAGAAGACTAAGAAAAGTGAGAATCTTCTGAATGAACTGGATACTATTGAACTTGCATGTGCAGCACACAATCTGCAACTGTGCGATTCGATGTGAACTAGAGGTGGAGAACTATCGATGGCACTATCGATGGTTTGCCACTATCGATACGCAATCGATAGCTGCGCGCACTTTCGATAGTGGTTAATCGCTATCGTCGATTGTTGTCGATATTTTGGTTTTCCCATGTCTACGTTAAAAGTGTAAAGGAAAGGAAATTGCGCGAATTTGTTACAGAGTTATATAAATTGTTATTAAAAACATAATGGATCGTTTTCTTCAAATAGGTAAGATATTGTTATTAAGTGAGAATCTTCTTAATGAACTGGATACTATTGAACTTGCATGTGCAGCACACACTCTGCAACTGTGCGATTCGATGTGAACAAGACAAAGGAGGTCGCCGAATGGATGGAACTAAAATTAAAATGCGAGAATAGCCACAATTTGATTAAAAACTATCGGCACGGATAAAAATAAAAGAAAACAAATTGTTAGAAAATGAAGCATTGTTGGTAGCGATTTACATGGATCGTTAATCGTATGTTGACGAACTATCAAAAATCGTTAGCAAAGGCTAATTAAAAAAAAAAAGTTTTCGTTTATTTGAGTTGAAACAAGTAAGCTGTATGTTGTAAAATTTGGGTCATGTTTTGTGTATGTTGTAATTTTGAGAAACTATGTTAATAATTTAAATTGTCTTCGTCAAAAACTAATAATTGTACTATACTAAAATCCAAAAAACATATACTTATTATCGCATTATTATTTAAGGCACAAAACACGAAATGTTCCAGAGCTCGAAACTCCTGTGCGTAAAGAGATGTTAAACCCTTCGTTCTCGTCGATTCCTTCAACAGCATCCTCATCTGAAGGGAAGCCCCTGTTCTCGGCATTTTTGGACGAATTTCAAACAGTGTCATAAAGCAACAAATATCCTGTTTCTGCAAGACTTGTCAAAATTTATGCTGACTTCGACGTTACTTTTGGTCGCTTGCTATTAAATTCAATGACTTGCAGTTTAAGTTACCTCATATAAGTGCACTAGCGCAGGTTGTGCTGGCTACATCTGCCCTAAACTTTATATTAAGTAAACGAAGAGGATCGATTAGTGCAAAAAATCTGAACGCCTTACTAGTGATGAAGCTTAACACATAATATATAAAAAATTTTACAAAAAAAGTATGAATAATATATAAAATTTTTGAAAATAAATTTAAATTGTTCTATTTCACAACAACGAAAGTAAATGTGAAGACCGTTTGCATTGAGTTTTTCGGACTTTTGCTGACTCTCACTGTCTGAGCGTTTCTCGTTCGGCTCTTTACGCACTGCTCATTGAAAGACCGACACACAAAGAGCCCAACGAAAAGCGCTGTCTTCATGTCAGCAATAGCCTCTTGCTCATAGCGAGAGAGTATGAACTTTTTCGGTTGTACTCGCACCGAGAGCACAAGAAGAAAAACGGTCGACTGTTATTTGCGAGCTTTGTGACAACAAACATTTAAATACAATAGGAAGATGTGACCAACCATTGCATTGAATGGCTAATCGCAGATCCGAGACGACTGCGTTTATCCGCCCATCACTATCGAATTATTGCCATAACTAGCGAGTATTGCAAATACGCTCTGACAAGTTTGTACTAGAGGTGGAGAACTATCGATGGCACTATCGTGCCGCCATCGATGGCAGCCTTGCACTATTGATAGTGATGCACGCGGCGTCTCACATCACAAAGAAAAAATTAAGTTGAAAGTGGAAAGCATCTCAGCAAATCCCGAAACCCATCGTGGAATCGGAAGCTACAACTTCAAACCATAAACCATTTTTTGATTTTGTCGAACTGAAAGCGAACGAAAAAACAACCACCCGCCGAACTGATGCCATAATAGTAAAAAGACAATATCTAGAAAGAGGTGTAGTATCCCAGGATACAGATCCTCTGCTCTGGATACAAGTAAGCATACATATATATTAAGTTAATATAGACTTAATCAATTAAATTCAGTTTTTTGTTTATAATTTCAGATGAACGAAACGGATCTGCAACTAATAAAAACCGTAGTGTTAAAATCCACATCAGTGGAGTCCGAGCGAATGTTTAGCAAGGCCGGACAAATAGTCTCTGATCGCCGAACTCGGCTGAAGGAGAAAAACATTAACATCTTATTATTTCTTAAGTCTATTTTCCAAATGAAAATGTTTTGTAATTCAATGAAACTGTTTATTTTTTGATATAAAATATTTTATTAATTTGTATAAGCAACAAATGAAATGTATTTTTCATTTTTAAGAGTTAAGAATATAATAAAGTTTTGTTTAAATTGGGACGCACAGTGGTCCCTCCCATAGGCCAAAAATAAATTTTGGAATTTTGATTTCAAATTTGGCGCATCTGTTTATCAATAGAACAAAACTTTAAAAGCAATTATTAATTTTGTTTTGCTCCACACATTCACGGAGAAATTGGCACGCAAAGTGGGCGCGCAAACAAGAGATCAACTGCAAGCGTGCGCATGACTTTTAAAATCGTTAAGTTAATGGTTAATTAATAATGTAAAACAATCGAATAAAATCTGAAAGTGAAATGAATATTAAAGTTGAAGGTTTGTAGATTGTGTTTTTATAATTTTTATTAATTTTGCATGCTTAATGTGACTATATACAGTAGCTCGCAGCTTATTTCAACCAGCACCTCAAAAAAACTTTAAAGCCATATATCTAGCAAACTATGAGAGCTAATATAAAAATTGAAATAAGGGTTTGTAGCGAGGCTTTAACATAAAATTTTTATTTCCATTTATTTTTTAACATTTCTTAAATATTTAATAACTATTTTTAAACGAAAATACTGCTTAAAATACTGCAGCAGCTTATTTCAACCAGAAACTTTTCAACTCTGCAAAAAACCGCTATTTTCCAATAAATCGTTTTTTTTTTTTGTCTCACTGCTTACACGAAGTGTTATTGGCAAGTATTGGCGTCAAATTTGCAAGCTTTAATAAGTCGATCCGGGAGAAAACACAAGTTGTAGATAATGGGCCCACGTACAACAATTGAAAAGCGGGAAGACGTTCTCCGTCATTATAAAAATGGACTTTCACGACGGAAAATTGGGGAATTTGCTAATTTAAGTGATTCGACAGTGCAGTGTATAATTTACCGTTTTTTGCGCGAAAACAGGACGCATGATAAAGGCCGAAAAGCACCCAACAAAGTTTTTAACGAATCGGACGAACGTTACATCGTAAGAAAAATCAAGTTAAACCCAAAGCTTTCTGCACCAAAATTGACTAGCCAATCGTCGAGACAGAATTGGGAAAGTCATGTCATCCTGATACAATTCGACGGGTTCTTCGAAATCACGGTTTCAATGGACGAATTGCGCGCAAGAAGCCATTGCTTAGTGCAAAAAATGTAAAGGCTCGCCTAAAATTTGCCAAGGACCACTTGAGCAAGGATTCAGTTTTTTGGAACTCAGTTATTTTTGCAGACGAGCCCAAATTTAACATTTCTGGGTCTGATGGAGCCACATACGTTTGGCGTAAACCTAATACAGAGCTCCACGGCAAAAACATAAAGTCAACTGTTAAGCATGGCGGAGGTAGTATCATGGTATGGGCCTGTATGTCGGCAGCTGGCGTTGGAAGGATGCATTTCATTGACTCAACGATGGACAAGATTCAATATCTCGAGATATTGAAAGCCAATTTGCTCCAAAGTGCTGCAGAACAATGACCCAAAACACAAGTCGGGTATTGTGCAGACTTGGCTAATCTGGAATTGCCCACATGTGATGGCACCCCCCGCCCAGTCACCAGACATAAATGTCATCGAAAATTTATGGGCAATTCTGGACCAAAAAATTAGAAAACGTCAGATTTCTAATAAAGCTGACCTCAAAAACGCTTTGGTGGAAGAGTGGGAAAAAATAGCTCCAGAAATGACCAAAAAGGTGAACTCAATGCCAAAACGGCTCAAAATGGTCAATGATAACAAGTGTGGTCATACCAAATATTAACTTTCTTTGTTTTCTTTTATTTAAGTTGTTAAAAAATATATTCCTCAGCTGGTTGAAATAAGCTGCTGCATCATTTAAAGCAGTATTTTCATTTAAAAATAGTTATTAAATATTTAAGAAATGTTAAAAAATAAATGGAAATAAAAATTTTATGTTAAAGCCTCACACTACAAACCCTCATTTCAATTTTATATTAGCTCTCATGGTTTGCTAGATATGTATATGGCTTTGAAGTTTTTTTGAGGTGCTGGTTGAAATAAGCTGCGAGCCACTGTATATATTTTACTTTATTATATTTGTTGCATGATTTGTATTCGTCTTTTTATGTTTACTTAAAGTTTTAATTTTGATCCCCTAAGATTCCCCGATTCATTTTTTATTCAGTGTATTTGTTAATATATTAAGGTATAAAAAAAGGTAAAGCTAGCTGCGGATATTTGCGGATGTCTGCATATATTCAAGGTATGCCGACAAGGTCGGCAAGCCGAAGCTTATATACCCTTTCAGTCATCAAATATGTCGAACAAAATGCGTAATGGCTAAACAACATCGAAGACAAGACGATTTTTCTATTTATTTTCCACATTTTTGACTTTAGATCATATGGGAGCTATACGATATAGTTGTCCGATTTTGATCAATTTTAATTCGTAATTCAAGAGTCGTAAGAAAACTTTATATTCCAAAAATCATACTTGTCTGATGAAAAACAACGATGTTATAATTATATTTCCGTTATTTCTATATAGATTTTTCGATCTTTCCTATGGCAGCTATATGTTAAGATATGGTTGTCCGATTTTTATGAAACTTTTTTCTCAATATAAGAGTTAAAAAACTTGATATTCAAAAAATCATGCTCGTGGGATGAAAAACAACGATGTTATCAATTTATTTCCATTAATTCTATATATATTTTTCGATCTGTCCTATGGCAGCTATATGATAGAGTTATCCAATTTTGATAAAATTTAATCCGAAATTCAATAACAGTTCAAAAACGCCATCTGGAAGAAATCAAGTCGATCTGATGAAAAACAACGGCGTTAGAATTTTTTATTTCATTCCCGTTCCGACTTATATACTGCGTGCAATAACTACACACCTTTTGGGAAAGTTTCACCAAGATAGCTTTAAAACTGAGAGACTAGTTTGGGCAGAAACGGACAGGAGGACAGACGGACAGACGGACAGACAGACAGACGTACAGACGTATTTCGATTCAGATGGTGATGCTGATCAAGAATATATGTACTTTATGGGGTCTAAGGTGTCTCCTTCACTGCATGGAGGGGCGAGGGTGTTCATTAAATGATTACTTTTGATTACCAGGGGGGAGGGGGTCAAAAATCGCAGAAAACGTGATTACGTAATATATGGACAGCAGTGCTGCCAGATTTTGAAAGATAAATTAAGCTAGATTGAAGAAAAAAATAAGCTAGAATAAGCTAAAAATTAAAAAAAAGAAAGCTAAAAATATGCTAACCATGGAAAACATTAAAATAATTGATTTTTTACTTTTATTGATACGATATTGATATGATATTTATATAACTATTATAGTAAAGAAATAATTTCATCAACTTCATCATTAGATTCCATATATTTGGCGGATGATTGAACTAAAGCGAGGTATTTCGTTGGAAGTTGGTAGTCATGGCAACATTTGCTATGACGCAGTCCATATCTCTCGTCGTTTTTAAAACGACGCAACAACAATCGCGAAACAAATATGTGCAAAATTTCAGTGTGACCGGAACTTGCTAAAGATTATTATTAAAGTACAACATATATGAATTTGGTCCAAATTATCGAAAAAAATTACCAAAAATTATAATACAATCAAAAAACAAAACATATTTTGTTATAAATTTTTTTAAGCCGAAATTAGCTAAATGAAATTTGAAATAAGCCAGATTTTAAGCTATATGCATTTCAAGTATTTTTCAAGCTATTTCATTTTAAAATATGCTAAATCTAGCTTGAAATAAGCTAAAATGGCAACAATGATGGACAGCCCCTTTGCGTAGAATCGGACAGACGTACATACTTATTTGGATTCTGATCGTGATGCTGATCAAGAATATATATACTTTATTGGGTCTGAGGTGTCTCCTTCACTGCGTTGCAAACTTCTGACTAAAATTATAATACCCTTTTGCTCTGCAAGGGTATAAAAATACATTGCAATAGTGCCAAATTTAAGCATCAAAACACGCTGTGAGAAATGTATGTATTTTTTACCCAGCATGCAATATGAGCGTTTTCGGAGCGTTTTTTGAACCTTTCTTTTGGGTAAAAACACCCATAAAGTGTTCCGAAAAGATACCGGAAAGAGCGTTTTTCCCCTTGAAAATGGTCCGTCATAAGGATGGTAATTTGAGAGTCCGATAAGTGCTCTTTTTTGAATCCCAAATAGGTGCTTTCACCCTCCGAATGAAGCAGTGAAAGCCCTCAGAAAACGCACATAAAAGTAGCCTTCCAGACACCTAAATCACCCCTTAAAAATACTTTTAGGAGCGTTTTAAACAGCACAAAAAGATACTTTTAGGTGCGTTTTAAACAGCACAAAAAGATACTTTTAGGTGCGTCTTTCAGGCACTTAAATCGCCCCAAAAAGTTACTTTTTTTACTCATTTGGACTTCATTTTTATTCATTTACTTATTTATTATTTAAATTGTAAAAATTAAACATTATAATATTCATTATAAACTTAAACATTAAACATACTTTATAAATTTTTTCCATTATATTAATTTTTGTTTCATTTTCAGTTTTTTATCTTATTTTTAAACAAAATTTACTAGTTATTTACTTTATTTACTGACTTATTATAATATTTAATTCTATCCGAAGCAGTCTGGAACCATTTGCCGCATATTGTTGGAAATGTTTTATCATCAACCGAAAATTTTTGATTGAAAGCTCCTGGAATAAAAGAAAAACAAATATTAATTAAATTGGTTAATGAAAGGCATTTAAAATACAATGATTACGTCTAATTGTTGTTGTTAATGTCATGCTTAGAATGCATTTTTTGCAGTTCGTCCCTTTCCAAGAATATTTTGTTGCAAGTTCGTCTGTAAATATCTTCTTAAGAATTGTCCGTACAAATTTGGAAGGGTCAGCAATGTTGTAGTTCAGAATTTCGGCCTCCTATAAAATATAAAAAAATAGAAAAAGACTGTTAGCTGAATGAAGTGTTCATAGCGGCTGTCTGTTAAAACTCCTTTTAAAACAACTGGTCTTGTGTAGAGGAGAAATTGCCTGAAATCAACAGCTTTCCATCTGTCCATGTCTAAAATACTTCTCGGTTTTCTGGCGAACTCCTTACAAATATCTGCCTTTAAAGACATAAAATTTGTAATTAAGTAATTTATTTGGTTCCTTGATAGGGAGTAACTCTTTCCTCTAATTTTGAGCCATCCATTTAGCATACTTTTCATAACGCCTAAGCAAACAGTATGCATATAATCAAATGGAAATTGCTTAACTATATCTAAGGGAAGCTCTTCAATCTTAAGTGGAAGTAAATTATTGTGATGGTCAACATTTATTCTAGTTCTAAATTCGTCATCTGTTCTTAGTCTACTATCTTCAAGTTTATAAATGATTCGTCTTTCAAAATTCTCACCACGTTGATGACATTTAAGACAAGAAAAGTAGCCGCTATGACTTTTAGTTCCAAG